AACAACCCACCAGCGGCACTCCAAGGAGCGCTTTTGCCGGCTCTCTGGTATCGGGCAGAAGTTGGCGATTAAAAAAAAACAATAGAACTACGTTTTCAACAATTTCCAGCCTCACCCGGCGGCGGAAATAAGCCTTCAACTAAGTGTTGTAGATGATAAAATCGATTCAGTCACCACTGCAAATTATCACTATTAAGATAAAATTAAGTTAAGAAATTTTACAAGCTGAAACAGCAGTTATCATGAGAAAACTCGCACGCTCATTGCTAGCGTACCCCATGTTCATCGGCGGTACAGCGTTCGGTGCGCGCTCCATTCACGAAATGTTCCGAGCGAAGTCGAGAGGATGGCGTTGAGGAAACGCCTTTTCGGTTTACGGACGCAATCCACTGCCCCCGGAGACAGGGGTCATGTGGAAAGCGATGGAGTTGAGACATTGCAGCCGCTCTCGCCTTGCTGGATTCCTTGCAAGCTACATATGTCCTCGGACAGTATTCTATGCTTTCTGTTTTTATTCGTGCACCCTATGACCCAGCAATGGTGTCCCGATGACCGGGCGACTGTTGCCATCGAAGCCTCGGGCTTTAATTAAGTTTGCGAGTTTAAAACAGAAAAAAACCGCGAAGTTCGCGCACAGCAGACACCCAACACCGGCGAAGCCTCCTCATCTCGGGACTTTCACTCTTTCTACACAACCAGAAAGGGGGAAAGCGCCGGTAGCCCTTTCCCCTTTTCTCTCTCGCCCTCTTTCAGTAAAACGGTAAACACTCGACCCCAGGGGCAACAAACCGTTTTCGAGCCCAGTCACCGAGTTTGAGGCTAGACGCTCACCGGCGTCCCTCCTGACCCTAACCGAGTGGAATGGGATTTCAATAGGCGCAGCCTGCGTAGGTACAGTTTCAAACGCTGCTGGCGGCAAAATTCTCGTCTTTTCCCGCTATATTTGGTGTTTCATGGTACGTGTATTTTCCCGAGGACATTGAAAAAGCATTGTTCCACGTTTAAAAAAAACACAAAAAGCAAAAAAAAAAATTAACTGTTTTGTTGGGTACGCGCGCGACAGAACGAATGCGACTGGAATGTATAGTTCTAATTATTTTTTTTTTTTTTCTTACGATAACGCCGCGGGATTCGCCGCATGTGAAACGACAAAGCGCTTTGCTGTCAAATATAAGTTGCAACAGAAGAGGGCCGAAAGGCATGCATTCTTCACGCTCACAAATAACGTGTTTCCGGATGGACAGGACACGGACATACAACTGAGGAAGTGTTAACATTCGAACAATATATCGTACGTACTACACGATGCAGCGTTATCCGAAAAGAATTTATTTGAGAAAGATCTCAAATAACACAGTCACAGTCGACGGCAGTCTCATCTTGACGATCGGACGGAATCCGAGATGACTTCGTTTTGGGGAGAGCTTCCTTTTTTCACAACTGCACCAAGGCAAAGAAACGAACGCGACTGACCCGTTTCCCACCCTAACCCGGACAACTATTTTTGGAGATGACTGAGGATTCTACGCGGATTATCTCTGGGAGGGGGGAGAACAATGTTCGCAAAATCGCGTCGAGGGTCGTTCGACGTCTTTCACTTCCTTCGTTTCCCGTGAATGCCGAGCAGAAAAGCTTGAATGATAGGCACTTACCAGCCTTATTTTTCACAATGGAAGATAACATAAAAAGGGTGCGCAGCACGCATAAAAAAATTAAGTGGAAACTTTCAAGAGAGCCGAGAAAACGTCGAATGCAAAACCGCAAAAACGTAGGTAGAGAAACGCGCTGAGCGGGTCTTCACAGTCCCAGAGAGTGGCAGAAAATTTCTAGCTGATAGAGGGCGCGAGACTCGCACCAGCCGCATCAGCATCAGCAACATGGCGGCGGCCTAGGAGCGTTTTTTTGGAAAGGGCTAGGGAGGAGTGGAATGGTTTCGGTTTCGATCCACACGTCGACAAGAGATTATACACGGAGCGTATCTCATGTTTTCCGGTCCCGAGAGCATAATTTTTGGTCTCTAAACTAACCTAAATGGCTAGACTTCAAAGCTTTAGCACAGGCCCGAGACGTGTAGCTTACCTTAACACATGCTTGTTGTATTTTTGTACTTGAGCCTTTCTGTTAGCGTTTCGAGGTATGAGAACGAGCCAGTGCTGGGAATATCGACGCTGCGAGCTTGGGGATCTTGCTTGCGTAAGAGTCGCCGAGCTCTAACAACCAATAAGTATGCGTACATCGAGCTCGCACCTTTATATTGGTATTGTTGGCCAGGAAGTTTGTTTGTTTTGTGCAACCATAGACAAAATATCTTTTTTCAGCTAGTTTTTCTTAATACGCCTGAGTATGCGAGGTAGAACTCAGAGGCGCCATTGAAAAGCTCAAATCGAACACACTTCTTATCTCTTATCTGTACTGACCCGCACCACTGCACGAAGTGAAGTCCCCACCCGCTTGCATTCTACTAATTTATTATCGCGTATGCGCATAAACTTTGGTACTCCTGCGAGAATGCGGCTTGCTTTTCGCCCAATGAAGTAACAAGAAGCGGACGTTTGGCAAACAAAATATGTATAAGGCTCAAGGTGACCACATTTCAGTTGTAGTTCACAGCTACTAGACGGGATTATTGAAATTAAGCTCAAAGATGCAATCGTGGGGTTAAAGGGACACTGGCTGAGTTTACATGGATGCGATCGTAGCGAATCGAATCGAGATTAACCGCCTATGATTGGGTAGACGAGGAAGGGAAAGGAGGATCGCGGGCCCGTGACTGGTCACATCTCGATTCGATGCGCCATGGTCGCATCCATGGAAACGTAGCCATTGACAGGGTATTTATGCTCGCCGAGGTTTTTAGTTTCACGTGACATATGAGAGCTCAACTACCCAGAACAGAATTTGCGGCTCGAAATTCGGTTTCTTTCCACCCGAAAACCGCCGATCAAGAACTGGCCGGTTCGAGTCTCGCTCACTCTCTTTTTCGCGGTCACGGGCCGTTTTCTAAGGTATCGATGCGACCACCAAATTTAATCAAAGTCGTGGGTCACTGAAGGCACACACTCAATATTAAAAATAGAAAAAAAATATGAACCCCATTTTTTGTGGCTTCTAAAAAGCTGTAAATAAGTTGATTGAAAAAAAAAGTTCCACAGACAACCGGAAGCATTCTGTGCGTTCGTCGTTTCGCCTATCGTGGGACTCGCGGAGACGGTGATGGCAGCGGACGACGGGCGTGGGACCTCTATTTCAGAACTGTCGTTCGCGGTACCGGCGAATTCTGTCGACCGTTAAAAGAGAAATTTGGGACTGATCAAAAGAATTGGTATTCATCCCGTACGACACGGTCGGCCACCAAGCCGATTTGCATGAAGACGTCGCCGAGCCGTCGCTCCCTTCTCGTGGCTGAAGACATCGCTCGCGCAAACGTCAAGCACGACGTGTCTACTTCGAGTTGAATATGCACGCGTACGATTTCTTCACTAGGTGCGAATGTCCCCAATGCCTGGTGCTTCCCGACTTCGACCCGGGAGTGCTTTTTCTAGAGAAAAATCGACAGCAAGCTTTCCAACTTACAGTTACCGGCTGAATTATTACTAAGGAAAGAGATCCACCATTGAAGAAATGCTGCAGTAGCTCAGTGGGAAAGGCGTCCGGTTCACACGCGGTAGGACCAGGTTCGATCCCCCGTGGAACTTTTTTTTTTTTTTCCAACATTTTCCGATGCTTACATATCTTTTTTTTTTTTTTTTTTTTTACAATCATCACTGAAGAAACAAAAAAAAAAATAACAAACAAATGTTCCGGGCGATACTTCGCTGAAATAAATGGTATGGGATTTCCGTTTTGACACCTCCGCACTCCATGTAATCACTTTCCACAAAATGCAAGGAGCCTATAAATCAGGTAGCGTCCGCTTTCCGAGGTGCCCGTAACTGTTTTGCAGGAATAGCAGCCAGCCATTGGTCTCGATCCCGTTGATCTTTCGGAAACTCTGTCGCACAATGCCACTTTTTTTCGGATGCAGGACATGTGAGCCAGCTCTTCACGCAACATCTTGGGCGTATTCTTTTCGGAGCCGATCATGGAAATTCACCAAGGGCACTCACTACTCATCTCCAACTCCTCAATGTACAAAACAACTCATCTTGGAGTACAGAACAACGAGCGGAACAAACATAACTGCAAGTAATCGCACGGCGAGCAGTTCCCGCACGCCGCATCGCACGCCGCATGTCGTGTCGTCTGCTACGGAAAGGAGAAAGAAAAAAAAAAACGCACGGTCGGGTGTAGCACGCGACTTCCGCCACTCGCTCTCTTCTCTCCACTTCTCCAACCTCTGTCGGGTTTCGGTTTCGGTTTCGAGCAGTTGCGTCTTTTGGCTTTATTAAAAAAATACGCTACTCCGTTGCAAAATATTAATTGGGCAGTCCTCCGACACCATGATGAAGCGCCTGGCAAAAAAATAAAAAAAAATTCTTTGGGGGGTGTCAGTGTCCCTTTAAGTGACTGAGCCACGTCTTACTACGTTTGCATGCGTACGCAGAATATCCGGTGTTTCAGGAACCAAGAAAAGTGCCTCAGTCTTCGTTTTCTATCGCTGGCGAATGAAAAGTCAGATAATCGAAAACGCAAGCAGCACATTCGGTCCTGGTGTGATGGCATGAAATGAAGCTGCTCAATCGAAACTGAGTGGCCAACTAGTTCCCAGAGTTCACTGTGTGGTATTTCGCCGCAATGGGGCGCTTCAATTTTGGAAGAAGCCTCAGCCAGCAAGGACATACGCACTGATAGACGAATGCCATGACGTTGCGCTTTGGGTGCTGCGTGTTTAGCCCCATTCCACTAAGATTCCAAAACTCGTAATTGTGGGCAGACTTTCCAAAGGGGGAATAAAAAAAAAAAATTAGCAGAGAAACGTTTTGAAGTGTCTTCAGTGTCCCTGCAACATGCAGAATGCAGACAATGGACTTTGTGACCCAGTCAATGAAAGCAAAACAGCCTACAAGCTCAAATATTTTAATCTATGATACATTTGAGATTATGGAACATTGTTATTATACAAAAATCCGGTGCTTTTCTACAAAACAAACGGTATTACACAATCGGAGCGGATAAAAAAAAAATGACACGCCCGCACCGGAGACACTTGTTTTTGCAACTATCAACATGGGGATGAAAAGGCACAAAAGGCAGTATGTTGTGTTAAAAAAAAAAAGTGATAAAACCGCAGTATGTCGCAGCCCCAAGAGCCAATGACAGCCACCCAATGCTCTGCTCAGACTCTGGTAGACAGCTCACCCTTGGAAGCCTCACAACAACCACCCCTACGCACAACAGCCGCCACTGCCAACACTGCCTGTGTAAGACCACGCCCAACCAAGCTGCAGTACTTCAATACACTAGCATCCCATTAATAGAGGAACTCCAAGGCTCAAGGAAATCAAATAGAATTGTAGCTCGCAATCAAGAGGCCCAGAAATCCGAGTGTCATGCAAAGCCTCTACAGAGAAGCGCTATACTACACAGTGATTGCATTCTTATGATTCTCAAGAGTGCTCCATTGTTAGGCAAACATCAGAGAAGAAAAAAATTTGATAGCCACCACATAACCATTCCCAAAACTGTAGTGTTAAATTTTCTTACGAGTATATCTTTCGCACATGTGTTAGTGATCCGCAAGGCAAAGTAACGCAAACCAAGTTATTGCTCTCTACAATTAAACAAAAACCCAGTAGGAATAGCAGAACTCAGGGGAAAAAAAGGGGGAGGGGGACAGCCCTTGCATTCCTTACAAAAATGCACAATATTTACAATACATGGGCAAAATTGTGCTCGCCTTCATAAAACCACTCCTAGTCAGGCATGCCTCGAAAACCTTTTGTCACGGGGTAACATTAGGGTAAGTAGAAAACATTGCTTGCAAAAACTTGTAATTACACCTGCAGCTCAGCATAACCAACGATGTGGCCAGGATAATGAAAAGATTGAGCATCGTGAAATTGCAGTTTACGTATGGCATTATAAATCTCTCTACCCCCAAACCTTTCAAGTGCAACGCAGGATTGTAAAACTTTATCGGCGTAGAGGAACATAAACCCAAAAAACGTGTTCATGAAATTAGACCGACCACACAAAAATATTAGCACTTTGAAAAATCATTCCTCAAACTGAACGCGGATCTCCGCAGTCTGTACTCTCGAGACGCTTAAATAGCTGCATGGTGCGCACAAAATATTTACAGAACCCACGTCAGCTTCCCAGAACATACTTTGTACAGGTCAAATCGCACAGGACCACAGATATCTGAATTCCAAAGGCCTTTGAAAATGCACGCTCCCCCGACATTTGCCTTCAATTTGAACCCTCCCAAATGTTGGTGGACCACCAGACAAAAGCAGGTCTCAAAGCACAACCTCAGCCTTGCCGTGAACAAAGAAAACAGAAAGGCTAAAAGAAACAGGACAACACAGACAGCTGCAAGGCCCCCATTTTCTCTTTTCCAAGTCTCACCTCCAGTACGGCCACAGCAGTTGCACCGCAATTCCGCACCCACTTCACAAGACATTTGCAGTGCAGCATTCGAGTGAAAACGCACAATCTGATATGTTTAAGAGACTAAAACGTTCTAGCAGACCTGCTCCAGAGTAGAGAAAACTGAAAAGGTTTTCATCTTGAAATAGACATGTGCTGGGATTTAACATGCCAAGCTGCTTCCAGTTTCTCGTTGCATCTGAAGGTCAGAAGAGTGCTGGAATTCCGGACATCTAATACTGTGAAAGTGTACCAATCAAGACCATTTGCTTTGGTGTAAAAAGAAAGGTGAGGGTAAAATTCAAGATGAACAGAGGCACTAAGCCCAATGCACTCTATTTGCTTTGCACCTGGAGCCCCATAGCGGTGCTGGCAAATTACAGACAAGCTTCGTTACAGAGACAAGCTCAACGCCATGCACACAAGCAAGCGCCACACTTCATCGCTAGTTTCCAATCTGCAGTTCCGAAATTTGATCAATGCCGCTATTTGAACAAAACTGTAGGACAGAAAGTCAGCTACACAAAAGCAATGGACAGCTACACCAACATTAACATTGGACACACTGGGCTCAAGTGAGAAGGGAAAAAAAGGCACACTCGATATACAAATTAATTTAATTGTCAGTGTACTAAATACAGAACAATCATCCAGAATGTCAAAGCCACGTTTAATTAAGGTGACAAAACAAGCGAGCCTTTCTACAAACCGATGGAATCAAAAAAGCATCTGTCTTTCGACTAGCATTGTTACTGGAGGAGGACCCGTAATGCGGTTTTGTGTCCCTCGCATTTCTACACCAACTTCTTTACTGAAAATCGAAGGAATCGTGCAAAATGCAAAGGAAAGGATCTTGGAACACTGGGACGCGTTCAATTCACTTTTGTACTCCATGCACAGCAGGTAGGCTCAGGCCACTGCTAACGATGCAACAAAGACCCAAAGGGGCCAAATCGACACATACTATAATGAGAAACGCACTTAAAAACTAAATAAAAGCACACAAAATAATTCCAAAGAAAAAGTTTGCTTCTATACTAGGCAGCAGGCTACCTTTATTGTTAGGCTTCAAATTTTCTTCCATGTTAGATGTGCACTCCCAAGGCAAATCCAAGCATAGCAGCACCTAGTACCCCCAACTTCCTCTGAATCCGCACGGCACACACACATGCCCTGAGCATTCATACACGCCGTCTGGCCCTGCAAGTTGAGCTAGCAACGCACAGAACAGGTTCCAGAAATTGGCACATCAAACGTACACTAATGCATATTACATGCATACACACAGATGTGTATATAGTATATGGTGTGGGCCCCAGACAATGGTACATATTAAAACCTCCAGCCGCCAATTTGTTTTTCATCTTTCCTGCAGCCCAGCAGCAAGCAACAAGACTCGGGTGAACACAGAACCTTAGGTTTGTGCTTCTCTAGCTTGTGAAACTTTGGAATGGCTGGGTGTGCAACTACAGCCAAGTGTAAGATGGTGTGAAATAAAGGAGCCCCCCAGCCAAGAGTGCTTCAAACTGAAGCATGCAGACGGCCATTTGCAAAACCCCAAACAAACGAGAGCTAACAAAACTCGTTTAAAAAAAGAGCCGCCCATCACAAGCACCGCCGCTGCCAGGGGAAAGGAACCCGCCCCCATCCGGCACGCAAGAGAGAGGCAAGAGCGGAAGGGTCACCAGATCACGTTCTCGTCGCGCAGTTTAATATGTAGAGCATAGAACTCAAACTGTATACCTATAGATGTATACATAAGCAGGCAGAGGCTCTCACACAACTACCCTCGCAACGCCGTCGTCTGCACCCGCATTGCAGGCCTCCCCGACGGAGGTCCTTGTGTAGCAAAAATAGACATCTGTGGTGGGCCCCTGACCACTCCCAGGCACTCGGGTCCCGTGCCTCTTGAAGAGGAGCCCCGCTCGGACGGCAGCAAAGGCAAGACGACGAGAGACGGGGAATGCTAGGAGTTCTGCAGCAAGCCGTTCATCTGGGTGCCCGGCGGTGTCGGGAAGGCCGGCGACACCATGCCACCGCCGCCACCCGTGGCCGCCGTGGCCGCTGCGTTGTTCGAGTTGCGCAGCACAGAGTACACGTCGTCCACCTTGCTTAGCTTCTCGAAGAATGGGATCAGGTCGCGAAGCTCCGTGTCCGACATGTCGTCGAACCACGACCCCACAGGCACCTGCGACGCACCCACCGCCCTTGAACAATCGGGCAATCAACGTCCCAACCACGCCACATTTTACCTCGGCCTCAGGCACAATCGGTTTCCCACATGGTCTTTTGACGACGTAAGCTCCATCTATGAGCATAAACATTCTAGAATACCAAAATTCACTATTATCACGCGTGGCTTCTCACCTTGTTAAAAAGACAACCAAACATTGCGACACACCCCTCTCTGGAACAACGTTTGGTCGCATTTTTCATAGAGAAAAAGGCCAACCACCACTGTAAACTTGGGTTTTCTAGGATGCATAACACACAAATTGAGGCTGCGTCGTAATGACCATCTCAAAATCCACTTTAGTGCCCCTTTAAAATATTCGTATGCAATAAAAGATGGCCAATTTAAAAGGAAACTACAGCGTTCTAGAAGAGGAGTGGTGGAAAATGTGGCGCGCACTCCATGAAGCCTCCGAAGCGGATGCCGCTGTGTGGCACTGGCTCAGTTTCCCCAGGGAGTAGTGCTGGCAAGAGGGCGTCGGCTACTCACGGCGCTATGTAGAGATGTTTTAACAACAGCACACCCGTTTATACAGCATTTTATAAGCTTTGCAGTCGTCAGACTGAAGAAAGAGAGTATTTGAAATGCTTGAAAGGTGCATGCAGTGGCAATGTGTTTCTTGGTGTTCAACATACCACAAAAGGCAAGCTTGAAACACTACACCCGAAAGTAGCTCCAGAGATTTGGCTAAGGTGCTAAGGTTCAGAACTGGTCGTTATGAGTTATAAGCAATGTCCAGAATTTTTTATGAAAAAAATTGACCGCATCTCCACGTGGTGATTGATGTTGATTGGGGCGAAGCTCTGGTAGTGCTTGTCTGTGTAGACGCTGAGCCGCAGCATGCCAAGCTTTTCGTTCGTTTTCATCCATGTGAGAAAGAGAATGTGTGGTATGGAACGTGGTTATATACGCATTTGAGCATTTGACCGCAGCACCCTCTCGTCTATAAACGTTGAGCCAATGCATGCCAAGTTTAATGCAATTATATATGCGATTGACCGCAGCGCCCTGCCCTGTATAAACGTTGAGCGGCTACATGCAACGTTCCATCCATGACAGAGACCTCAGCTCTTGAGTTACTACCACATCTCGGAGCCCCCTACTCGTCCCGCAGTCGTGGCCGAGTGGTTAAGGCGATGGACTAGAAATCCATTGGGGTCTCCCCGCAGAGGTTCGAATCCTGTCGACTGCGCAAACATTTTCTTTTTTGCCTTACACGAGCACATGAGCACGTGAGCTCACGAGCACGAGCACGAGCACCAGCCAGATCGATGTGAGCACGGACGCCGGACGGACAAGGCTAGACCCTAAGGAGCTTCGCCCTAAAATTGCCCACTCCTTGAAGCAGATGCTATCGACGCCAATGCATTTTTGAAGCTTATATTCTGTTATAAAATCGGATCCCCGCAGCTAGCTTTCGATCCATTCCGACGTAGATTGAGGGTTTGGTGATAAGAAGTTTATTATTGCAGCGAAAAAAACAAGGTTGGTATTTCTCTTTAGTTTACGTCTGCCTGCCTATCTCCTGCAAGTGTTTCGAAACCAATGTAGTGCTCATTTTACTGGATTCCACACTTGATGACTCGAATAACCAAACTTATTTGCGAGATTACAGGGGTTAGGGTTCAAATATTTACGGTTGATCGGGCCACTTCATTACATCCTCAAGCGTATGGATATTTTCTAAAGTTTCACTAACAAAACAATAATCTGCATGCGTATCGTTAAAGGTTGGGCCAATGGGCAATATTCATTACATGGCACGACGATTAACCAAAATTAAGGTTTATGCTGCAACAGTCACACTGCTACTCACATTCCCCATTTAAACCTCAATTAGGAGGCAGTGCAGTCCACAACTTCCTTATACAACTGGTGAAACTGAAACACAAAGGGTTCATTGTGCGCTAAACTGGGATGAATAAATTGACCGCAAAACGTAAGCTGCTAACAATATTCATGACGAGTATATTGGGAGGCTTCTAGCGCACCAAACCAACTGACAGCAAAGTTTGCTGGTGCAAAGGAAGCACCTGTGCGGCAAGCACAGTGAAACCCACTTACTGCATTGTCTGGGTGGAAGATGTAAGACGCCGGAGAGTTGTCAATGATCACCACCCTGTGCAAGTCTCGCCCTAACCTTCCGAGGTCCTGCAAGACAGCACGCACGGGAGAATGCACAAGCGCAATTTTAAGCATGCCATCCAAGTGAGCCCAAATCGTTAAAGACCACCTCCCAAGGAGTAAGCCAGTCTTCAACAATAAGGCCAATGACTCCAGTCCAACAGTGTTAGCAGACAGTGCGAATGGCAGATTGCCTTGAAGCTCAAGCACGCACACAAGGAAGGTCACAAGGCATGTTAACAAAGCGAGGAAAGTCTTCTTTAACATGTTCTCGCCAAATGCTAAAGTCAGAGTTTCTGAATGCCCCTCTCCAGACTCCGAATGTTTGGTTAACGTGGCGAGACTAAAACAGCAAGAAAACGTCCTCATAAATACCAACTTGTATGTGTATTCCTTGTAGCTTACGTGATACTTTGAAATGATAAGCTGATGCTTTTCCACCTCACAATGTTGAACACCAAGATAGCGACCCCCTAGATACTACTCTCCTCGCTTTGTTTACACGGTGAGTGACCTCCCTTGTGTGTGCGCTTGAGTTTCAAGGCAATCTGCCATTCGTACTGTTTGCAACAACCGGCAGCAGTGGCATCCGCCAACACTCAAGGAAAAATAAAAAAGAGCTTGGGACAGTACGACTTTCTGAGAGGTGAACGCACGCAAACGAAAATCTACCACCCTGTCGGTTTTCCCAGTCTGGACGGAGATTATCTTTGCGGGTGCTCAGCAGCGGATGCTCCTTGTCGGAAGCCTTCTAGTGTTGCAGGGGTTGGGCCTGTCAAGCCACTTCGGCCTAATCTTCGCGACATCATGTTCTCTTTTCTTGATCTTTTCTTGTTTTGGTGTGGACAAATAAACTCACCTGTTCTTGAAATTTTGTGTTGTCCGTTTCTTTTTTTTTATTTTTTATTCTTTTTAGTTCCATGGTTTTAAGTTAGGACGACTTTCTACGCTCTCCAATAGAGCAGCACTGTTGTACAGAACTGAGTTGGTTCTAAAGAACATCTCCTTGGAGCCAACATCGTGCAGCAAAGCCTCTATAACGAAGACAAGCTAACTCAATTTGAGTGAAGGTTTGTAGTAGGTTTTCTTAATTGGAGGTAATATGCTACTCACGCCTTTTAGATGCTTATGGGAGCAAGGAAGAGCCTATAGGACATTCTCATAATTGATTGAGTGCTGACGTGCACTGGAAACTAGGGACCCTCGCTACAAGCATGTGGTAATGCAATACATGCTAACTTGCGTCAAAATTATACTCTCAAAATCTTCTCAAAGGTAGCATGCATGGCTACACCTCATGCTTCTGTCACTGCAGACACTTTAGGATAAAATTGCCATCAATTTTCAAGTGAAACTTGGAGGGAAATCCAGCAACGGACCAGTCAAGGCATTCACTGACTAAAGTCAACCCATGAAGCTTCCAGCGAGCACCAATGAAAACATGAAGCCAGCCAACCACGCCACTCCTCTACGCCTACATATATGTCATAGCATTAGCTGTGATCATGTGTGCTTGTGAGTCAGCAGAACAAAACAGAGCGTCAAGTTAGCTACTACCGTATTTTCCAGTGTACAAGACGCGTTTTTTTTTTTTTACTTTTTTGTTGGTGCGAGTGATACAACAATGTGACTTCTATAAGATTTTTTTTTCTGTCGAGGTGCGATGCTTTTTTTTTTTTTTTTTAATATGCCGCGCGCCATCTTTTGTAGAGCACCCTAACTACGTAGCCATAGGTGGTGTTTCCCCCTCCAGGAGGTACTGCTGGCACTGCACTATTTTGACTCAGAATGCGAGATATTTTAATTTTTGTGGTTTCCCCGAAGTGGCTCAATGTGGATAGGCAAGGCAGTGAGAATAGAGCTTCTACAGCATGTTATTGATGTTGGCTAGTTCAGCCATGGTTCCGTATTCTTGTGCTTCAGTCCAATAACACTGAAAAGTAAGGGGGCTGGTACACACGCATTGCAGAATATTTTCTCACGTCTTTCTTGGTTTCCGTTTGGTGAGCAGTTTTTTTGTGCCTTGCTCCAGCCGTGCTGCTACATGTAAAAAGAAGGATTGTGGATAGCCAATCTTTTAGAGGTACCAAGAAAAAGTATGTCCAGCTTTATCTTTTTGCCTGCGCATCTATGCTCGCGCCGTCTCCGGGACTTGGCCTAGCCTAGGCCTAATGCTCCAAAGCTTGATTCGCAAGTGTCTAGATCTTTAACCTTTCAATCGCTCGAAATGCTTCCGATCAAATAAAGTCGACTACCCTCTCATTTTGCTAATTTTACGTCCTTTTGCTGCGAAACACTCTACTCCCCCTGCCAGACAGCACCATACTGTGGGCATTTCTCGCGAGTCGAAATGCACGTCAAACGGTACGTGCGATCTAGCAATTGTGCGAATCTTCGATTTCGTGATACCAATGCACGTGAACCAAAGAACTCATCGCGAGAACCATGCAAAAGGGTGCGACTTATAGAAAGGTGCGACTTATATACCAACTTTTCCACGAAAGCTGCTCAATATATGGATGTGCGACTTATACAAGGGTGCGACTTATAGTCCAGAAAATATGGTATGTCCTATATAAACATATATCCTAAAGCTAAGGTTCTGTGTTTCTTTATAAACCCGAAAAACTCCGAAAAACACTCGCCAGTAAAATTTTCGTCAATTCAGATTTATTCTATCAACTCCAAAATTCAATGTCCGAATGCAAAAAAAAATAATGATGGTATTTTACAATTAAATTTAGTCAGAGCACAGTGTCAATGGTTCAAAGAAAATGCCAACCCGGTTTCCTTTCAAATCTTGGATCCTCGACAAAAGGCTTCTTACTTATCTAGGTTAATTCATGACCTTGCAAGATGCCACAGGTAAATGCGGTGACCTCGTCAACTGTGGGAGTATCTGTCGGAGCAGACGATGTTGGGACAGGAGCACGCGAGAGTGTGTCAGCTGTTGCAATCACCTTACCCAGTGTAGCGTGGCTCAAATCGGAGTCATTGTGACGTCCCGAACCAAACCGGTACACGTGAGAAGACACGTCACGCCTCGGCTATATAAGCCGCTGCCTTTCCTGAATACACCTCTTTCATCGCCCGATGTCTGGCCCGCTTACATGGTGGCAGCGGTGCCCATCCAGAAAAACAGTCGAGATGTCGACCCCGTCAACACTGCAACTACAGCTGCCGCCCCCGAAGCCCTTGGACACCTCAGGCAACACATGGCTTGGATGGAAAACGTGGAAGAGTGAGTTTGCATTGTTTTCTACAGCTACGTAACTGAGCAAACAACCGAAAGAAGTGCAGGCAGCAACGTTACTGGTGACTATTGGCGAAGAAGGCAGAAAAGCACACAACAGCTTCAAGTTTGAGACTGAGGAGGGCAGAAATGATGTTAACACCCTGATTCGTAAATTTGAGGACTTCTACAGACCGGCAATCAATTTGACCTTCCAGGAATTCCGCTTTGGGTCAAGAGATCAGAAGGAAGGTGAGTCGTTCAGCGACTGGTTGACAGAATTTGGAATTCTAGCAGAAAACTGTGAATTTGGAGAGCTACAAAAGCATATGCTATGCAGCCGTATTATAAAGGCTTGCAGAAGAAACTGATAGCAGAAAACCCGAGCTATCAGAAGACAGTCGAAATGTGCCGCATTCAGGAAACAGCAGTTCCGTGAAATAAGTGAATCGGCAGAAGCCGCGCACGACACTGCAGTGAACACCGTCGCAGCGAACGTTGAACCCTGCAGTAGGTGTGGTTACACACTGCACCATGCCCAAGCTTGTCCCATGCAAGGAAAATCGTGCAACAAATGTGGAAGGCTGAATCACTTTGCTCAAGCGTGCAAGTCGTCAAAGACTTCGCGAGCAACCAAAGAAAAGAAGGCGAACAAAGAAAAGAAAAATCTTCGGGGACTGCGCGTAGGCTTTATCTATCAACAGAATCCCAACACACCAGTGGATCGCAACCGTCGAGATAGAGGGTCAGCCAATGACTTGCAAGTTGGACACTGGTGCAAATTGTTGCGCTGTTTCGCGGCATGACATGACAAGGCTCCCGGAAAAGCCCCAGCAAGCCTGTAACGCTACGCTCACTGCATTCTTCAATTACAAGACCATTTCGCAGGCCAAAGTAATGCTGCTGCTTTCCGCAAACAACAAGACACACGAAGAAACATTCTTTGTAGTAGACCAGAATGTGCCGCTGACTGTAAGTGGTATAGTCGCCGAACGTCCTGTGTTTATACGCCATGCGCAGAACGTCAATCTCGAAGAGCTTTACCCGCCAGCACAACCCTTTGCGGATGTCTTCAAGGGACTCGGACAGCTGAAGGACGTCAAGTATGCAATGAAACTCAAGCCCGGCAGCGTGGGTGTCGTCGTGCCGGCTAGAAGAGTAGCCGTGGCTCTTCAGGAAAAGGTGAAGGAGCAAGGCGTCATTGCAAAGGTAAACGAGCCAACAAAATGGTATAGTCACATGGTCACAGCTGTTAAAAAGGACAAGATATGCATCTGTCTGGATCCCACTGCACTTAACAAAGTGTTGTTGCGCGAGAACTACCTGATGCCAACGCTAGAGGATGTCGCTCGGCGGCTTGCTGAGGCCAAGTTCTTTTCCGTATTTTGGCAAATCCAACTCACTGAGGCTAGCTCTGAACTCTGCACGATGAGCCCACCGTACGGGCGTTTTCATCGCATGCCCTTTGGGATCGCTTCTGCGCCGGAAATCTTTCAAGCCGCAATGCACAGACTGTTTGAAGGGTTGCCTTGTGTTGCTCTCGTGATGGATGATATACTACTGTGGGGAAAAACGAAAGAAGAACACGACTATAACCAGACTCTGCTTTTGACGCGGTGTCGCAAACACAACCTGAACCCCAAGAAGTGCACCTTTTGGCAGCGACAAGTCCACTACCTGGGACACGTCTTCACAACGCAAGATCTGTGCCTCGACCTAGAACGGGTGCACGACATCCTGCAGATGCCGGAGCCAAAAAACTGTAAGGAGCTTCAAGTTTCGCTCGGCACAATGA